CCCGCCCGCCCCACTCTCTCAAAAAATAAGTAAACATTTAAAAATAAATTCCTACAGTTACTGTCTTCGAGATGTGTACTTTTCTGCCTTAAATCATTGGTTATTTCTTCACATTTATCATTTTCCTCCAGTTTAGACTATCAATCTCCAGAAGACAAGGACCATCTGTTATACTTCTTTTGTACTTCTCACAGGGTGTAGCTTAGTGCCTTGCATATAAGTGATCTTAACTGATTTGATCTCTGGGTTAGAAGGCATTCATTCAGCCCCTGGATGACCCCAGTCATGCGTGGGACCCCCAGCAACCTGCAGCATTGGTTGGCAGATGGAGGAACTGACAAGGCAGCTCCTGGACTTCAACCCTGGGGCTGAGGTGAAGTAATGACAAGAGGTTGAGATGCATGAAGTGATCCCTTTGGGTTCAAGGACAACCCAGGAAGCGCCCATGACCTGGTCTGCTTGTTGGAGGAATTTGGGTGGACAGGGCAAACAGTGACATTACTGATTGTGGTGAGCTCACTTTGGGCAGAATCTTGGGGTTCCTCTCATCCCAGGGAATCACCGTTGAACCTGCCACTCTAGCCAGCTGTTCTAGAAATGCTTACCACTAAGGAGAGGAGGTAGGAGAGAATGTGTAGAAGACTACAGGCAGAGAGTCACCTTGACAGGAAAAATGACTCAAAGTTATTTCAACGGTGAACTCTCAGTGCCCCTTTTGCTGGCAGAAAAACCCAGCACCACTGAAAGCAAAATCTAACAAAAACATTTCCAAGGTCTGCCTATTTACTGACCCTTTTCAATATATGAGGTATAAGTAATTCTGCCATTGTTAGAAAATCGGATTCACTCATTGGACCAAGGTTTTCTTTTCTATTTTTTTAAGTTTATTTTTTGAAAGTATTCTATACACCCAACGTGGGTCTTGAATTCACGACCCCAAGATCAAGAGTCACATGCTCTTCTGACTGAGCCAGCCAGGTGCCCCAGACAAGGGTTTCTCAACCTCGGCACTATTTACATTTTGATCTTGATAATTCTTTGTTGTGGGAGCTGTCTTGTGCAACCGTGGATGTTTAGAGGCATCCCCTGGCCTCTTACCCACTAGATGCCAGTAGCCCCTTCCGGTTGTGACGATCAAACATGTCCCCAGAAATGACCAAATTGCCTTCCCCTCGTTGAGAACTACTAAATTGGACATACGACCTTGAGCAAACTACTCTTTCTCTCTCAAACTTAGTTTCTTCATCTCTAGGGGAATTCTCGTGGATGTAAAGCCTGGAGTACTGAGGCAATGAATTCCACAAATCTCAGGCTGAGGGAGCAGATGAAACCATGACAAGGATGTCAGCGTGGAAGCAGCAGGGCTATGGATCAGCACCTCGAGGACAGGATTTTAAAGACCGGGCCTCTAGAACTACAGTCTGGAACCTGAAGGCCCATCATACATTCACCCCCTTTCCGAGGCCTTTGTAACATATGCTTATATGTGTGTCTTTCCTGCTGCATTATAAATGTAATCTGGGCTGGAGCTGTTTTATTTACCTTTGTATTGCCCCAATGTTTGTCATACTGCTTTTCAGAGGGTATTTAACAACTAAAAACTAAGTTCAAAAAATCTTAAGGTAATCCACACAGGGCCTGACTAATAATAGAAAGCTTCATGAAGATGAAGCTTAAGTCAGGTGTCAGAGGGGGCTCTACACTGGCAGAGCGGGGATGGGGGGAGGTCACTTGGATCATTTGGGGAATATAAGGAGCTTTGCCAATATGGAGTTGGGGAAAAAAGTGAGTTGGTGTAGAACCTAGGAGATAATATCCAGTTATAATTGTTTATACACTGTGTAATGGTTGAAAGTCATGTTCATGATGACCATCTCACTTTATTCTTGTAGTCTTATGAGGCAAGAAAGGTATTAGTCTCATTTTATAGATGAGGAGGCAGAAATTCCGTAGGTTATCTATATCAGGTACCGAAGTCTCTCCTCTACAATGTGCTGTTGCATTTCTGTAACTGTGTGTGCAGAGGTGAGTGGTGATAGGTGGGTAATGAATGAAGGAAGACGACGACCAAGGGCCATGACAAGCCCTTTCCTCTTCTCAGGGAAGCTGCAGCCTTGAGCAAATAGGGAAGAGGAGGCATGCTTTGAGGTGGGGACCACAGCAGCAGACTTCCTCACAACAAAGATATGAGTCAGCCAGTCTCAGGAGCCACCCTGCATGGCTCCCACTTGGTGCTGGCTTGTAGACCCAGACTGAAGGATACAGGCAAGGCACCTGCCCGTGTAGGCTTTTCCTTCACTCGCTTGGCTGTGCACACTTCCCTGGGGAGGTCTTCCAAGCAGAGGCTTCTTAAACAGGATCTCTGGGTTGAGTCTTCACGTGAGCTAGCTCAGTGGAGGTGATGGGGGCAAGAGTGGGAGGAGGAGAGGAACAGTATCAGGGGTAAAGGAGGCGGCATGAACAAGGACAAGGAGGTGGAGGGTGACACAAAGGGGGAAACAGATGGGGATGGGTATGCAGTTGGAGACATCGCAGGGGTCAGGTCATGGAGAGCCTTCTGTCTGTCCTATGAGACGCAGAGCCTTACTGGAGATGGAGAGCATGTGGTGTCCAGGAAAGGGGGGAGCCTGAGGAGGGGCAGAGATAGGGATGGAAGGGACAGGTTCTTAGTCTTAGATAAGACTGTCAGGACTGTGGGACTGATGGGCTCATGCTCATATTAAGTACTCACCATGTGCCAGGCACTGAGCTACAAGCTCTTGATATACATCTTAATGAATTCTAATACTGCCGTGAGGTATATAAAGTATTACCCCTATTAGTAGATGAAAAATTGAAGCTGATAGTGTTATAGCAAACTTAGATTGGAGATACACAGCCTGTAAGCAGCAAAGCAAGGATTCAGCCAGGATTTCTGGTCTGTTTTACTCAAAAGCCTTGCTCTTACCCACCTTGCAACCACAGGTGGGGTCAGGGAGAATGAGGGGTCTAGGATCACCTGTAACAGAGGAAACAGAGACAGACAATACAGGAGGAGAAGCAAGTTGTGGGGAGGATGGGTTCAGTTTTGGACTTCAGTTCATGCTTCCAGGAAGAGCAAGGCTAGGGGGAACATGAACAAACAATGCCAGTACCCCGATACCTCCAGTACTCTGCACCACCCCCAAATTACCCATTGGCCTTGGAACACTCAGGGGTCTGTGTTCTGACTCCTCCATCCCATTCTTCCTACTAGGAGGCCCACAACCCAGACAACATCCTACAGGGAGGCAAGGCTGAGAGGCATGTGGAAGTCAAGGACAGTGGCTGGCAGGCTCTAGAGGGCTAACTCTTTAGTTCTGATGAAGGGGCAGGTATTGACGAAAAGAGGAGTCCGGCCCTTTCCCAGCATGACAAGCTACATTGAGAGTCTGATTCTCTGGACTCAGATGGCCCATACTTCCTCAAGTCCAACTCAACCTGTGTAACCCAACTTGACAAGCCTGAGGCTTCAGGGTCAGTGTGCTTCAGTTTTCAGGAGTGCTCTGACTCTGACAGGGCCTGAAGTTACAGGTGAGGGAGTTGGTGTGACAGTGTGATTGTGACTGGTGGGAAGGTGATGATGGGGACTGTGGGGAGTCCACAACGAGGTCTCTGATTCTCAACCCAGCACTCTAGAGGGAGGCCCTTGAGTGCACGTGTGGCCTCCTGGGCCACGGTGAGTGGGATGAGTGGCAGACCCTCTGTTCTCTGAGGGTTAGGAACAAGCAGCACCTTGTTCCTCAGAAACACAACAGTGTTTTCCTCCTTACCTTTCCGCAAAGAGGGATCTATGGACCAGAGAAAACATCAAAGAAAGCCCAAGAACGTAGGGCCTTTTGGCAGGGAGCTGGAACTAAGTGTTCCGATGACAGCAGAAAGGAGGGGACCAGACAGCAACGTCCCTATCCTCCCACCCACCCAACCCCCTCAGTCCAGGGGCTCTTCAAACTTAGGGGACGTGCCCTCCTCCCAGACTGGTCTTTATCTAGAAATTTCTGGCCTCTTCTCACCTTTGGGCTGTCTTTGGCTCCAGACAAGAATTCCTGCTCCTGTCCCACTGGTCTTCCAGCTCCTGCCCTTTCTCCAGAGCAGTCAGAGAATTGTGCTTCAGCCTGTTCCTTCTGCCCCCTTTGCATTTTTTTTTACCAGAAAGGTTGACCAGAGCCAGGGATGATTGGGAAGAGTCACTCGCCCAAGGACCAGTTGGACCTCTTCTTCTGTAAGTGTTACAGCTCATGGACTGGCTGAGGCTGAGACCCCGAGGTGGACCAAGGGAGTGGGGGGAATGGCTAATATAAGGTGGATAACCAGCAAGTGTCTCCTCTCTCTGGGGCATGAGGACTTGGGCTAGGTGATATTTGAAATACAGTACAGCTCTTAGGGTATAGGGGAAGGCTGCGGGGACGCTGGAGACTGTGGGAAGGGGCAGACAGCCACTCTAGGCCCACCTCTGCCTCCAACCACCTTAACTCTACCAGCAGGAGGAATGGCAGTAGCTGTGGCCCGGCTTGTGTTTCTCCAGCTTGCTTTCGGGCCAGCTCTGGTTGTGGACATCGAGATGCAGATTGCCATCAAGGACTTCCACATGCTACACGTCGATTATCCCAGGGTGCACTACCCAAAGGGTTTCCAGGGCTACTGTAATGGTCTCATGGCCTATGTAAGGGGCAGAAAGCAGAAGAGCTGGTATTGCCCGCAAATCCATTATATGGTGCATGCCCCCTGGAGAGAAGTCCAGAAGTTCTGCAAGTACAGTGAGAGTTTCTGTGAGAATTACAACGAATACTGTACATTCACAGAGGACTCCTTCCCCATCACGATCTGTTCTCTGGCCCCTAATCAGCCGCCCACCAGCTGCCACTACAACAGCACCCTAACCAACCAAAGGCTCTACCTGCTCTGTTCCGGAAAGCGTGATGCGGAACCGATAGATATCATTGGTGTCTACTAGGAAAGGGAGGCTTTCGATTTGAACTACCCCCTACTGCCACCATTCACCAGCCTGTTCCCATTCCCAAACCTCTGATTTCTGATACAAGGCTTCCTCCCTGACTTCAAAGGCAGGCAGGGCCCCCTCCCAAGAGACCAGGGAAGTAGGACAAATGTCCAGAGCTTCAGTCACCATGCAAATTCATACTGCCTTGTAGACCCTTTCCAACTTGTTTACCTCCTCTCTTCCCCCGTCATCTTCCTTCTCCCACAGACAGCCTTACCCACCCAAGAAGCTGACTGTGTCCAGTTGGCAGTGACTGTCCTTCCACTGGGCCAGATCCTGAATCCTGGATGGAGGCCCAGAGCCTCAGCTCACACCATGACAACAGGCACCCAGCTCCATGTCTCAACTCCCCATCCCCACTACCCTTCTCTCCTCAGCTGTCCCCATCTCCCTTATGATTCTCTCCACTCACTCACCTACATGGTAGGTACCTCTAGCTAGAGGTCCTCCCCAAGACCCTTAGAGTGTTTCTAGCCTCACTTCTCCAGAATGCCCCTCAGTCCCCAGTCTGTTCCTCTCTACGAAATCATTGCTCTTCTCTCCATGTAACCTGTTCTTTCTTTTCTCCTTCTACCACAGAGCCCAGGGTAGTTTCTCCCCTACACTCCCCTCCTTTAGTCTCCCTGTATTCCTCTCTCTGACTTCTTTTCCTTCCATTCTTCTCACTGTGGCTCACTGGAGTTTCAAATGATCTTCTCTGACCTGTTACCCCCAAGATGACTGCATCCCTTTCCTTCCCAAAGCTCTTCCTGACAACCTGCCCCCCCTCCGGTTACAGGATCTGCCACTGACAAGACAGGTGTGAGGTGAGCCTCGCTGTGGTCACAGAAGGTTTTAAAACCACACCTTGAGTTATAGAAGATATAACCACTGGATGAAACTGGGTGAAGGGTATGTTGGACCCCTCTGTACTATTTTTGCAATCTTCCTGTGAATCTATAATCATTCCAAAATAAAAATATAGAAATATATCTGAAGCCATTCTGATTTCATTCCTTTTTCTTCGGCACACAAGCACTCCTGCTCTGGGAGTCCTGGAGGCACTCACCTCTGGCCATCTTCCTGGGCTACCCTTAGCAGTCAGTGGGATTTTCTGTTCCATGTCTCCAACACCACCTGGGCTACAACAGGGGAGGGAGGTGGAGGGACAGGGAGGGGTCTAACAAGTGGTGTCTGGGTCATACTAGGTCCAATCGGGAATTGCCACTTCCCTTTGGGAGATAAGAAGGGTGGATACCAGAAATGTATGAGTGCAAGGAGCAAATGCTTTTGCCTCCGCATCTGGTTTATCTCTTATCCCCAAATATATTCATTCCTCAGCTCTGTTCTTAGATGCAGTTGTAGAGGGGAATGCTAACCTAGGGCTGGGAGGCATGAGGTTAACTAGAGAAAGGGTGCAGAACTCAAAACCCTGACTCCTGGGGTCTTCTCTTCTCTCTCTCTGCACCAGTGGGTCTATCTATCCCTCTCTCTGAAGGAAAGACAGAGCTCATTGGCTGATGCACACACAGATGTTTATTGTTCCCTACGCTCCTCCGTGGTGTGTAAGATGCTGGGTCGAGGACTAACTGACCCTAGTTGTTGAGGCTACTTCTCATTTGCTGCTCTTCTTATCATAGGTGCCAGCACCCTTGTAGCCACTCACATAGCCTGACTTGTCGGTCATCTCTTCCCGTCCTGCGATGCCTTTGCCTTTGCCACTCTCGTCAAAGCGCTCCTTGTGGGTGCCGGTGTACTTGCTGGTGTCCGTCAGCCGGCTCACTCCACCCACTGTTGTTGCCTTCTGCAAGCCAGAGGATGATGGGTCTGATCCTTCTCTCTTCCCCTTTGCTGTCACACCCCTTCTCTAAAGATGGACTTTGGTTCTGCTAGGACCCAGTGCTCTATTCTACTGTTGGCATGGGGCTGCTTTCTTTAGGGCCCAGATGCAGCCATGGGTAGGAACGTGGCAAGAGCCATCCACTCACGAGGGTGGAGGAGTCTGGTGTCTGGGAATGAATGGGGTGTGTGTGGAGTTTTCTGCTTCCAGAGGAGCTATTTTGACCAGGTGGCAGCCAGAGGACTTCAACCCCAGACCCAATATGCAAGGTCCCTCCAAGTGGGAGGGCCCTATTTGAAACCTAGAATAGAAGGGGCTTTAAATAGAGAGGGGACAGGGGGCACCTGGGTGGCTCAGTCCATTAAGCATCCTATTTTGGCTCAGGTCATGATCTCACCGGTTTGTGAGTTAGAGCCCTGCATTGGAGTCTGTGCTGAGAGCTCAGAGCCTGGAGCCTGCTTTGGATTCTGTATCTCCCTCTCTCTGTGCCCCTCCCCTATCATACTCTCTCTCTCTCTCTTTCAAAATTAAATAAACATAAACAGAGAGGGGACAAATAGAGAACAGACGGTGGGTGGGAGGCAGGAGGGCAGATATTACATCTTATACAAGAGTGGGAGGAGGAGTGGGGATCAGATACCAAGTCCTTTGCACTCAGTGTTCCCCCAGAGCCCACTGGACACTTGGAAGCAAGGCTTAACTTTATTATTAAAGTAGATGTGGACCCTTCTCTCAGCCACAGTCTCTTCATCCCTGAAATTACTAGATGATCTCTAAAGTCTGTTCCAATCCCAACAGTGCCCCCAGAGACTTTCTGCCTTGTCTCCCTACAGTATTACTAATGACAGAGGTTAGGGACATTGGAAGGGGGAAGGGAGATAGGAGCAGCAGGGATTTAGAGAAGTAGAGTCAAGGGTTAGGGATGAAGAATGTCACTCACAGTAACACCAGTGGTAGCTGGATCCTTGCCTTCCATGAGTTTATAAATGTTCTCCAGAGCTTCATCTGGCTTCTTGTCTTTGAATCGTTTCTGGCCCAGCTCCTTCATTGCTTCCTGGAACTGCTGAAATGTGATGGTTCGGGCATTCTTGGCTCTGGTCAGTCAGACAGAAATCCAGGAACTTTGGAACATGAATTCATAACCTTCCAAGGCCCAACCCTTCCCTGACTGAGATTTGGTCTCTTGACACTGAGGGTCCTGGGACAGGGAACAGCACAGGACCAGGTACCCAGCAGGTGCTCAGTAGACCCATTATTGTGTCCTCCCACATGAACCTTTCTAGGTCCCACTGCCTTGTGTGCCTGGCCCCCATCTCTGGCCCCTTACTTGACTTTGCTGAATACGATGTCCACATCAGTGGAGGTGACTATCTTGCCATCCATGATGCCACAGTCTTTGCATAGCTTGGAGAAGTTCTTATTGCTCATTTCAGTGCCACTGCTTGATGATTCTCCAAAGACAGCAAACCGCTGGAACGTTTTCCCTGCTTCTGATGCCATGATCAACTGGAGGTGGGGGAGGGCCGCAGGGAGGAAGACTTGGGGGTGAGGGAGGAGGGGAAGGGACGACTGAGGAGTAATGAGGATGGGTGTTAGTCAACAAAATAAGAATCAGCAACAGGAACAAAGTCCCTCCTCCCTGTTCTTCTCTTTCCTTTCCCCCCATCGCTTCCATCCCCCCTACTGTTCCCAGCACCAGGGATACTAGTATGGATCCTACATACTGAATAATCACCACTACCACCTATGTCTTCACCACTTTTGTGCACCTGAGAGTAGCCGGATGGTGTCTGCCTCTTCTCAGCCTTTGTTTATCAGTGTGTGCAGATATGTGGGAGCCAGCTGGTTGGGGAGACTATGTAGCAATGGGGAAACAGGGGAGGAGAGGGAAGCTTCTATGACCTCAGCAGTGTTTATGTGACATCAGCTTGAAGCTACAGCCTGAGTCTTGGGAGAGGGGTCCTTCATTTCCCCACTTTGCATTGAGCAAGTTGCCACCCTTCTGATCTTTCCAGCTGATCAAACTTCCCTCATCATTCCCCCCAGCCTGACCCAGTCCTCTGGGTCCTGGTCAGATTGGTTTATGGTCTGTCCCACAGTGCTGAGAGGAGCCCAGGGAAGGGGTTAATGGAAACAGGTTGGCATCAGTCCAGCAGTGCCCTCCTTTCTAGTCTCAAGTCCAAGTTAGTGACCAACATGGAGAATCCCAGTGGCTCTGACACACCAACCTCAGTAGGAACTTTAATGTTTTTTTAATGTTCATTTTTTGAGAGGTGGGGAGGGGCAGAGAGAGAGAGAGAGAGACACAGAATCTAAAGCAGGCTCCAGAGTCTGAGCTGTCAGCACAGAGCCCGACATGGGACTTGAACTCACAAACTGTGAGATCATGACCTGAGCTGAAGTCAGACTCTTAACTGACTGAGCCACCCAGGCACCCCCACAAAACTATTTTTTATCCATTAATCCTGCTCAAGAATGCTCTAAGGATCTTCAGTGACAAGACAAAAAAAAAAAAAACAAAACAAAACAAAACAAAAAAAACTGTCAAGGACTTTCACACTTGGCCCATGCTTTTATCAAACATCACCTACCTCTCATCAATATTATTCTTCCTCTGGGGGCCATAATGACTTTAGAGGCTAGCTACCTCATGGTTGAAAGAGAATAGCCTTGGAGTGGGATGAATCTGGGTGGGGATTTGAGTCCTAGATTTGTCATTTACAGCACTGGTTGGTTGGCCTTGGGCAAATCACTAAAGCTTCTGTTTCAGAAATGTCTGAGCTGTGGTTCCTCACCTGTACTGTGTAACAATAAAACTTACCTTATAGTATTGTGGGATGATATATGGGAAGTACCTTGCACCTACTAGCTACTATTCAATTCTTCCGAGTAACTTGTGTATTTCTTCTCCCAAGCTTTCCCTCTTACTCCTTTCTTCCTGGATAGAACGTTCCTTTCTCCCACTCAAATACCCTGTGGTTGTACTCCTCATGGGTGGTACACTCTAGGAAACAACAACAAAAACCCTTTTCCTCTGAATTATAGCAAAATAATGGTTCTTAGTCTGTGGGCTGCAGTCTCCTGGGGAGAGGATTTCTGATTTATTGCAAGGGACCCTGGGATTTATATGTACAGAAAATATTGTCAACTGAATAAATAGCACGCTTTGCACATGTAGATATTACTACATACATAGGTTTTAGAAATATCAGAATTCCGTACAAACGGCGGAGCCTGACTGGCTTGGTCTATGCAGCACGCATGTGACTCTTGATGTTGGGGTTGTAAGTTCTTTGTAGTTTGAATCCCACATTCGGTGTAGAGGGTACTTAAAAATAAAATCTTAAAAAAACAACCTTATTTAAAAGTATTGTTGAATTCATGGTTTGTCTCCGTCAAGGGATACTAAAACCATCAAGCGGGAATGGAAATCTCTCATCTCCCACTTGAGAAGAATGGGAAACACTTGGCACAGGATTTTTTGTCTAAACAATTAAACTTCTATAGACCTCATTTTTCTTAACTTTCTGTCTTTATTCCCTCTCCCACCTACTTCATCATATGCTTCCAGAACGGATATGACCACCCTTCACACTTCTTTGAATTGCATCTATACAGTGGCTGGCACACAGCAGGCTCGCAAAACTGTTGCTTAACTGAAAGTACAGTTTGAAGCTGCTTCTGGCCCAAGAGAAGGGAGTTAGAGATTACCCTGGTTGGGCGACTTATGGCTGGGCTGGGACCTACCCTGACAAAGGGAACCCTACCTTAGGGCAGAACCAGCCTCATTTCTGCCTGCAGGAGCTGAGACCCCTAGGCCTCGGAAGCAAACAGATCCCAGTGGAAATTTCCCACCTCCTGCCCGCCCCACGCCCCTGCGTAGGCCCCTTATCAGGTTCCCCCTGAGTCATCCTGACCCAGAGACGAATTTAGATGCTGGAACCTCCAGGTCCTTCCCTCCCCCACTCCAAGTAAGACTACTTTATACACATCAGAGAACACTGCAGGCGGAAGCTCTAGGCATTCTTTCTTCCCCAGCTCCTGGGGGGCTGGTAAGACCTCTCTCCTGCCCTACACAGCTCTGTCTATGATCCTAAGGCTTGCAAGCTTTTCCTTGTCCAGGAGAGTGTTAAACTGGCGTCCAGAGGGGAGAGGGGACTAGGCAAGCTGCCAGGGTGCCCAGCCTCTGGGCCAGTTTCTGAGGGAAACAGTTATGAAGAG